GGAGTGCATTCTCTTCAGTCAGAAGCAGTTTCTAGTGGGAGACTTGAAATAACAATGGCATGAGAAGCAGAAAGGAAAAAAGTGGTGGCCACATCTGGCTATCTGTTAAAAGTCTCTGGGATACCGAGTTGTTTAAAGAAAACAACTGCTGTCAGCAGTAATTGTTATACTTGTTAGATATAAAATAGAAAGAGTATAATTACTTGCCAGTACCTAGATGCCCAAGATCAGGATCATTGTATTAAGCAGTGCATACTCAGAATACCACCTACTGCAAAGAGGAAGCAGACAAGGCACTTTACAGAAATCTGAGTAGAGAGATGTGTAGATGAGGGTCACATAGTGAGTCTGTAGCAGAGCCAAGGATTGAACCAATATCTTCTGACATTCCCACAAGACCATCTTTTCTTTTCAGTATAAGCTTTCCCCCTTACATAGAGATTTTTCACATTCACTAGACCAGTTGTCAACCTTTGTAGATTCAAGGCACCTCTGGTTAGACTCTAAAGGCACCACCTTGGAAAATGTCAGCAATTATTTTTCACTTTTTTACTACAGAAAAATGAAGCAATTTTTCTGTTGCAACAAATTTAGAAAGACAGCAACAGGTGAGAAAGCAATATACAGGGTAGAAAGCAATTTGAAAACTCTGGGTTTTATCTTGCAAATCATGTTTGCACGCCTAACAGTGTTAACATTTATGTGGCATCTCCTGGCACCATAGTTGAGAATCAGTGGGTTTAGACACTTCCCTGCCCACAAATCTTTTTTTTTTTTTCTTTTATTATGGAAGTTGGGATGCCTGCTGTAATAACAACAACATCTTACTACCAGTCTGGTAATAGTGAGCAGCTGTTGCCCTGTGGGGTCAGGCCAACTCCCAGGATCTCAATATTGCACAGTTAGACAGGAGGGTGACAATTGCATGTATACAAACACAAATCAATTAGGTACACACACACACACACACACACACACACACACACACCCCACCAACTCAGGCGCCTACACATCCAAACCAACCTAGGCATGCATACCTATCACCAATTCAAGCACCTACACACACCAAAAGTTTGACAAAAACACACACCAGTTGTTGATACCCACACACAGATTACTAATTCTTATATCATGCACACAATGACATATATATACACACACAGGTTAGTTCCTAACTTGGATGGTACGCTATATATGTGTATGCTTGGGGTACCTGGGATATGGGGGAAGGTTAAAGTGAGAGTGAGTTAGTGTAGGGATTGAAAATTGCCAGAACTGGGATTAGAACCGGTGGACTAGAGAGAACATTGCTGAGGAACGGAGGCTTGGGGTTACTTAAGGTCAAGTGGCCCCAGGGTTACTTGAGGTCACCAGTGCAAGGGGAAAAGCCAGGTGGCAAGAAGGAGACAGCCAGGAAAGAGAGAGAGAGGGGGCAAAAGCCTGGGAGCTTGGGGCTGGAAACTGAGGCAGACACCCGAGATATTGGGGCAGGGTGTGGGTCAGATAAAAGTGGTGGCAAGGAAGAGACAGCTAGGAAAGAAACCGAGGCAGAAACCTGGATGCTCAGGGGAAGAGGCAGAGGGGACAAGGCAATAACAGGGGCAGAGATCCGGGGCAAAGGCAGTGGGGATAAGACAGTGGCAAAGAAATGGGGTTTGCAAGCAGAGAGGAGCTCAGGACAGGTGTTGGAGGTGGCAGGTGTTCTTACTGAGCATGTGTAGCCTGGGCACAAATGGTGGGTTGCCTCATCTTTTGTTTCTTGAAAGATGAGAGTGGTTCCAATGGCTGGGTCCTTGGTCCAGGTATTGGTGTTGTTGGTTTGGTCATTCAGAGGGAGCTATTTTTAGACCTACTGCCATAGTTTCAAGCAGGAACCAAGTTACATAGGAGGGGTAGGTGCGAGTCATAGGTTACAGAACATCAGGGGACATAAGATGGAGGCTTAACATTATAAGATGGAAACTTGACATTACATACATAAGCCTAAATCATATATCAGTAAAACAGCAATATAGAACAGTAAAAATCAATATAAACATAATAAGTATACAATATAAAGAAGGAGAAGAAACAACACAAATAGAACTTGCTACCAAAATAAAGTGCTGAAGCTTATCCTATGTCTTATATCACTTAGATATCTATCTATCTATCGGGAATAGAAAGGGAGAGAGGAAAAAAAAAAAAAAAAAAAAAAAAAAAAAAAAAAAAAAGAGAGAGAGTCAGAAATGGTTGGGGAAGAAGGGGAGGGAATGCATTTTAAAAGAAAAACAGAAAAAAAAAAAAAACAAAACCCCAAAAACAACTGGGGGTTTTGCTATGCAGCCTGAGCTCTGTTGAAATCTTTCCTGCCCTATCAGACATGACATGGGACAGGGACAACTGCTAAGCCTTTGGGGGCCATAGCAGTGGAGACTGCATGTTATGTGGCAGTGGTGACATGTAGGAGGTGCATATGCACCCTTTCCCCCCCCCCGAGAGTGCTGGTGCACCCCTTGACAGCCAGTGTTCCTGGGCACGGGGTGGGGCACGTGGAAGAGGGCAGGCAAGAGCATTGGGCCCCCCCTAAGAGAGCGGTGGCTGGGGCATCAAGAGAAGCGATCCCTGCGGTCCCCCTGTGGCTGGTTACGCTCACCCTGAAGTGTCAGCAGTGCACCCGGAAGTGCCAGCGGCACACCACTGCCACTTGCAGGTTGGTGGGATCAGCTGGGGGGGGGGGGGGGCCAGTTGCTGACTGGCCACTGGGGGGGCAAGTGCTCCACCTGATTCAGAATGCACCAGTCACCCATGCTGTGTGGGCTGCACCAATAAGCCATGATCCATCAAGCCATGCAAAATAA